CACTGAAGGGGGCGAAGTAGTACAGAAGATCAGTGCTCCTGTGTCATATCCCATAATAAGGGATGCCAAGGGCTGCTGAGGGGACTCCATCTTAAATATCAGCAGGTTCCATCTTGGATTCCAGATGCGTGCGCAACCTAATTGGTATGCACCGCCATTCCGAGAAGTACCCACCCCTTCAAAGAAACCCACTGAATATTCATTGCTCTATTATCTCCACCAAACCCATATAAGCTCTAGCCTAGCCTTGCTCCCCCACTTCAAGTCAGTCTTTTGGAGTGGCATGAACCCCTACTGACTCCTTTTACTTGTCACAAGTAAAATAAACCTGTTAGAGGTGAACTCAAAAAATTGTCTCCTCCGTGTATTCTTACAAGAGAAAGACAAGGACCCATTGAGTCCAGAGGGCCTCCGTGCCCTCGGCAGTAACACTTGGAAACCCTGTGAGGCAGTTCTTATAGGGTCACTATGAATCGGAATAGACTCGAGAGCAGTGGGTTTTTTTATACTCGTGGAGCCCTGGTGGTGTAGTATGGTAAAGAGCTCAGCTGCTAACCAAAAGGTTGGGAGTTCAAATCCACCAGCTGCTCCTTGGAAACCCTACAGGGCAGTTCTACTCTGTCCCATAGGGTTGCTATGAGTCAGAAACAACTCGATGGCACCTAACAACAACCATACTTGTAGATTTAACCTCATTTGGGTATAGTGTTTTATTTATTATGTTAGTCAGACCATATCAGTGTAGGGTGTGTCTTAAGCCAATCACTTCTGAGATATAAACCAAGCTCATTAGGCACAGAGGAGCAAGCACAGATGGGGGAAGATAGATGTCACACCACATGAGATCTCCAAGTAACTAAGAACTGGAAGCTGAAAAGAGGCAAGGACCTTCCCCCAAAGCCAACTGAGAGAAAAAACCTTCCTCTAGAGCGTGCGCCCTGAATTTGGACTTCTAGTCTCCTCAGCTGTGAGAAAATAAATTTGTTTGTTAAAGCCACTCACTGATATTTCTCTTATAGCAGCACAAGATAACTAAGACAGAATTTGGTACCAGAGAATCGGGTGCTACTCTAACAAATACCTGAAATGTGGAAGTGGTTTTCGAATTGGGTAATGGCTAGAGGCTGAAGGAATTTCAATGCGCTTCATAGTAAGGCCCTAGATTGCCTTGAAGAGACTGTTGGTAGAATTATGGGCATCAAAGACAATTCTGATGAGGGCTCAGAAAGAAGTGAAGACAAAGTCTCTATCATCTTAGAGAATACATATGGCACAATCAACAGAATGTTGCTAGAAATGTGGACGTTAAATGTGCTCCTGGTGAGGCTCTAAAAGGAAATGATGAACATGTGATTGAACAATGGAAAAAGGGTGATGCTTTTTATGCAGTGGCAAAGAATTTGTCTAAATTGTGTTCAAATGTTTGATGGAAGATAGAATTTGTGAGTGATGAACTTGGATATTTGGCTGAGAAGACTTCTAAGCAAGATCATAAGGGGGCCACATGGTTTCTACTTGCCACTTACAGTAAAATATGAAAGGAAAGACATAGACTTAAAAATAAACAGTGCAAAATGAAAACAAAACTTAAAAATTTGGAAAATTTTGTTGTACAAACTGAGAACATTTGTCCTAGAACTTTCACCAAGGATGTGGCTACACAATCTTTTGTTAAAGAGATTAAGCCTGTGACTGATGGAGCCAACCAACTACCACAGCAGAAAATCCATCAGCTTAGACTGAAGGAGACAGAGACAGGATGAAAGAAACAAAAGCTGTCTGCCTCTTGAAATTTTATAGGCAAGAAACAGGCCAAAGGAGCTACATCTGTTGTCCTCCAAGAAAAGAAAAGGACCATCCCTGGAGCAGTTCAGAGATCAGCAGAAATATGGGAAGGACCATGGGAAGCAGAGCTGCCTCAGTTTCAAAGGGTGAAGCCAAGGTGTCTTAGGTCTTAAAGCGTGGAGCCACAGCCTCCTAGGTTTCAAAGGGTAAGATCTCTACCAACTCAGTTCTGGAGTGTGGGGCTGCTGTTCAGATTAGCCAAAGACGGGGCTGCCCCCAAAGCTGAGGGGGCGAGGCTGCCTTGCCCAAAGGCCAAGAGAATGAGATCCCGGCCCAAGGCTGAGGGGGCAGGGCTGTCATGCCCTAGGGGCAGGAGAATGGAGTCTGACACGGCCGAGAAGGTGGGGTCACCACTTCATTCCAACTCATAGAGACCCTATAGGACAAAGTAGAACTACCCCATAGGGTTTCCAGGGAGCAACAGGTGGATTCTAACTGCCAACTTTCTGGTTAGCAACCAAGCTCTTAACCACTACACCATCAGGGATCCATTCAGATGGACTAAGAGAATAAAAACCAAGAACCATTGCCATAGAGTCAATTCCAACTCGTAGTGACTCTATAGGACAGAGTAGAACTGCCCCATAGCGTTTCCAAAGAGCAGCTGGTGGGTTCGAACTGCCAACCTTTTGGTTAGCAAGCTGAGTTCTTAACCACTGTGCAACCAAGGCTCCTAGGGCCACCCAAAGCCGAGGGAGCAGAGTAGCTGTCCCAGTGGGCCTGGAAGGGGAGGCTGAAGCCCAGGGCTGAAGGGCCTCCACCCAGAATCCAGAAAGCATGGCCAATACCCAGAGTCTGGACGGTGGGGCCATTGCCCAGGTGGTCCCAGAGAACAGAGGATTGTTTTCAAGCCTTGAGAGCTACTGTAATTCGTTCTGCTGGGTTTTGGACTTGCTTGGTGCCAGATATCCCTTCTTTCCCTCCAATTTCACCCATTTGTGATGGAAATGTCCACCTTGTGCTTGTTCCACCATTGCACTTTGGAAGCAGGTAACTTGCATTCAGGTTTCAGAGGTCCACTGACGGAAAGGAATTTTGCCCCAGGATGGAATAAGCTCAAAGTTTCACCCATACTTGATTTAGATCATTAAGAAGATGAGATTTTGGACTCAAGTTGATTTAAGTCTCTTGGGATGATGTGATGGGGTAAATGTGTTTTGTATGTGGGAAGGACCTGAATTTTGGGGGGAAAAGGTGGGAGCTATGGTTTGAATTGTGTCCCCCAAAAATATATGCTGTAATTCCTAACACCTATACTTGTGGATGTAATCTCATTTGGGAATAGGGTTTTCTTTATTACGTTAATGAGACCATGTTAGTATAGGGCATATCTTAAGCCAATCACCTTTAAGATATAAACTAAGCTGATTAGGCACAGAGAAGCAAGCAGAGATGGAAGAAGATAGATGTCACACCACATGAGATCTCCAAAGAACCAAGAAACAGAAGTTGAAAAGAGGTAAGAACATTCCCCCAGAGCCAACAGAGAGAGAAAGCTTTCCCCCTAGAAATAGCATCTGAATTCAAAATTCTAGCCTCCTAAACTGTGAGAAAACAAATTTCTGTTTGTTAAAACCACCCACTTGTAGTATTTTTGTTATAGCAGCACAGGATAACTAAGACAGAGCCCTATATCACACTACACCCCAAGATGAAGGAAAATTAAATGTAAAGAAATGGAACAATAAAAGGTATATAAAACAAAGTAAATTAGTATTTTTACAGACTTGTGGCATAGATCTTTCTAAGCGTGAAACAAATAAGTAGTAAAGAAAAGACTGATAGATTTGGCTAATAAAGTGTTAATCTAATGATTAAGATTCTGTAAACCTTCATCTTAGGTACAAAGAAAAAAAAAGAATTATCTATGTGAGATCAAATTGACAACAGCAACTCAAAAGCTTTGATGAGAAGCCTGGGGGCAGTGAGTTGAAGACAAGGGTGATGGAATAATTTGGAAAAGGATAATGAGAATAACAGGACAACTGGAAGAATGTAATCAATGTCACTGAATTGTACATGTAAAAACTTTTGAAATGGTGTAACTTTGGCTATGTCTATTTTCACCAGAAAAAAAAAAAAAGGTCCTCCAACATCAAAAAGTGAGAGTGTTGACAAGTCATGGGGTTGTTAACTAATGTCATAAAACAATATGTGTACTGACTGTTTAATGAGAAACTATTTGTTCTGTAAACCTTCATCTAAAGTACAATCAAAAAATTTTTTTAAGTGTTAATCTTCTGTACATCCAAATGCACTATAATCAAGTTTTTAAAATAACCACCTTTAGAAAAATATTTGCAATATACGTGATCTTAAAAGGCCAGTGTCCTCACTATCTAATCATTATGAAAAAATTTTTTTTCAAACAATTTAAAGAAGGGCAAATGCCATGACTATATAATTCACAAAATAATACATTATTAGGGTTAGTCATGATTTTTATTTTCATCTTTTTTACTTACTTGTATTTTCTGGGTTTTCTACCAATAAAAAGAAAAACACGTATTACTTCTATAGCAAAAAGAAGAAAATTTCAAATGGAGAACCAGAAATGTTTTTTTTAGGTAACTTAGGCCTCTTATGAGAGGACAGTCAAACTCCTTTACCTTCTCCAGCTAATGACTCCCTATCCTGGGCCAGAAAATGTGCGTACATCATCTCTTGGAATCCTCAGAAAAACCTCAAATGGGCTGTTGTCTTAATCTAATATTATTAACAAGAAAGCTAAGGCTCAGAGAAGCGCAGCAAGTTTCCCAAGTTCACACAACAGTAGGCAGTAGAGTTGAAACTGGATCCCAGGCCTAATTGACCAAAACCAGCTCTGTTTCCAAGCCTCATTTCAGGACTGTTGGTTTGAGATGCAGAAGGCCTGAGTTCTGATCCTGGCTCTGTCCCCAATCTGTGCTACATGTGGCCTTGACAAGTCCCTTTCCCTGTCTGACCCTCAGTTTCCTCATCTGTACAAACAGAAGTGGATTGGCCTAAATGGTGTATCACATTCCTTCCTGTTCAATCATGCGAAAGTTCTGTTCTCACGAGAGGCTTTCTCAAGGAGCACCCTGTGTTGACCAATACCCAAGACCAGATGTTAGCCTCAGTGGCCTTGGGGGCTAGAGAAGGTGGCTGTACACAGTGCACATCCACTGGCCCACCTTGAACTCCTCATGGATCCGCTCCTCCAGTACTTTGGCAGCCTTGCGGTCCTCCATCTCCACTTTCCACTTCTCAGCCAGGATCCGGGCTTTCTCATTGGCCAGTGCATCCCGGAACTTCTTAGTGATCTCTGCCTCCTTCTGTTTCCTTCCAAGAGAGCACCAGCAGGTATAAACTCTTGTGAGCAACTGAAGGACCAAGTAAAAACAGAGCTTCAAATAAAAATAATAAGCAACTTTTTTTCTGGTCTATCAGGATGGCAAATAGCTAAGGTCAATAAAACTCAATGTCGGCAATGGTGTGGAGAAATAGAAGACACTCTCAGGTGTGAGAGTATAAATCAGCAGAATCATTTCGGAAGCAATGAAAACAAGACTCGGAATTCCATTTCTCGTTCAGGTTTATAAAGGTGTATGTAGAAGATGTTCATCAGAGGATTTTTAAAGTATAAAAAATAGTAAACAACCCAAACGTCCATCAATAGTACCAATAAATTAGGTTTCTTATATAATGGAGAACTATACAGTAATCCTAAATAATGCTGTGAAGCTGTATTAATCAATTTGTTATGATGTGAATAAAGCAGCTTACAAATCGTGTGTCACCTAAATGCTCACTGTGGCTATCTTAGGTAGGGGATGTTGAGTTGTTCTTTATTCTTTTGTAGTTTACAGTATTGTTTACATGTTTTACAATTAAAACATGCATTAAAAATTGGGGAGAAAATACAGTCAACTGCATATGGTTTTTCAAGTTTGGTGAAAATTTTTTTAAAGTTGTTAATGAAAGGAGCCTGACTCCAGACCTCACTGTAGGGCTTAGCTGTCCATCCTGTCTGCAAAGTGTGGGTGACATAAAGAGGAGCAAATAGACATCAAAAGTGAATGCAAACTGGGGTAACATATCGTAAACATATTGCACAGCCCACGGAGAGAAAAGCATGTCAATGTAGTCTCAGTGAACCCAAAACATATTTCTGTGAGAGGGCTATGCCCACACCACAGATGTGAAAACTGAGACCCCAGATCAGCTAACTACAAATTGGTGGAGCTAGAATCTGAACCCACAAGGTCTACCTGATGCCAGGCTACGATGCTTTGTTCAGAGCTCAAAATAGCCAGCCAGCTGCCTGGCACCTCCCCCCTCCCTCATAAAAGCTCCTGTCCTCAGCAAGCCCTCACCCCAAGGCTCTGGGCTCAGGTCCCACCCAGCACACCCACCGCCCCTCTGCGCCTCTCACCAGAGTTCCTTGGCCTCCCTCTGCGCCTGCAGCCGTGCCCGCTCTGTGATCAGCTCCTCAGAAATCTCCTCGTAGGGCTTGTCACCAGGGCCCTCTCCCATGATCCAGACCCAGACCTCACCATCTGCCCCTAGGAGCCACTGGATGTGCTTGTCACTCGCTGCCTCGCAACAAAAGGAAAAAGAAAGAGGAAGAAACAGGTCTCATTTCTCATTAGTAAGAGATGGCTTAAGCTGGCTGATGATACACAACCAATATATCCCTTTACAGAACGTTCTCACTTCAAAAAGAATTCCAGGGAGATACTGGCCTGAGTGCAGGGCCACAATCCTCCCCTGTCCCACTCCCTCTAGGCAGCAACACAGCAGCCAGGTCAGCCTGCAGGAGCAGGTATCCAAGATCAAGCTTCAGCAGAGAGAGCCGTAGGTAACAGCCCAGCACTCTCTGAAGGGAGTGAATGTCATTCTCAGGCCAAGGCAGTCAGGGGCTACTGGAGTTGCCAGATCCAGCAGCCTGTGACAGAGTCTCCCTTAGTAGGAGCCACACAGGAAACCCCCACCTAAGTCAGACTGGGATGTGAGCAGAAATGCACCTTTGTTTAGTAAGCCACAGAGACTTCTCAGTGTGCCTATTGCAACAGCTTCCATCAATTACTGTTATGAATTGAATTGTGCCCCCCCAAGTATGTATTGGAATCCTAGCCCCTGTATCTGTGATCCTATTTAGAAATAGGGTTTTCTTTGTTGTGTTAATTAGATCATACCGAAGAAAGGCCCCCCATGCTTCTGTCAGTTTGCTGTACTGTGGGGGCTTGCGTGTTGCTATGATGCTGAAAGCTATACCACTGATATTCAAATACCAGCAGGGTCACCCATGGCAGATAGGTTTCAGCTGAGTTTGCAGACTATGACAGACTAGGAAGAAGGACCCAGGGGTCTACTTTGAAAAAGAATTAGCCAGTGAAAACCTTATGAATAGCAGCAGAACATTGTCTGATATAGTGCCAGAAGATGAGCCCCTCAGGTTGGAAGGCACTCAAAATACAAGAGGGGAAGGGCTGTATCTTAGTCATCTACTGCTACTATAACAGAAATACCACAAGTGGATGACTTTAACAAAGAGAAGTTTATTCTCTCACAGTCCAGTAGGCTACAAGTCCAAATTCAGGGCATCAGCTCCAGGGGAAGGCTTTCTCTGTTGGCTCTTGAGGAAGGTTTGTGTCACCAGTCTTCCCTTGGTCTGGGAGCATCTCAGCACAGGAACCTCAGGTCCAAAGGATGCACTCTGCTCCCGGCACTGCTTTCTTGGTGGTATGAGCTTCCCATGAGTCTCTGCTCGCTTCTCTCTTTTATATCTCAAAAGAGATTGGCTTAAGACACTATCCAATCTTGTATACCTCATCAGTATAACTGCCACTAATACATCTTATTACATCATAGCAGTAGAGTTTACAACACATAAGGAAATCACATCAGATTACAAAATGGTACACAGTCATTCAATACTGGGAATCATGATCCAGCCAAGTTGACAGATATTTTAGGGGGACACAATTCAATCCACGACAGGCGCCTCCTCAAAGTAGAGTCAACCTTAATGACTTGGATGGAGTCAAGCTTTTGGGACCTTAATTTGCTGATGTGGCATGACTCAAAATGAGAAGAAACAGCTGCAAACACCTATTAATAATCAGAATGTGGAATGAAGTATGAATCTAGGAAAATTGGAAATCATCACAAATGAAATGGAACACATAAACATCGATATCCTAGGCATTAGCGAGCTGAAACAAACTGTTATTGGCCATTTTGAATTGGACAATCATATGGTCTACTATGCCAGGAATTGTAACTTGAAGAGGAATAGTGTTACATTCATCATCAAAAAGAATATTTCAAGATCTATCCTGAAGTACAACGCTGTCAGTGATAGGATAATATCCATATGCCTACAAGGAAGACCAGTTAATACCCTAAGGCCAAAGATGAAGAAATTGAAGATTTTTCACCAACTTCTGCAGTCTGAAATTGATCAAACATGCAATCAGGATGCATTGATAATTACTGGTGATTGGAGTGCAAAAGGTGGAAATGAAGAAGGATTGGTAGTTGGAAAATATGGCCTTGGTGATAGAAACGACACCAGAGATTGCATGATAGAATTTTGCAAGACCAATGACTTCTTCATTGCAAATAACCTCTTTTCACCAACGTAAGTGGCCACTACACATGTAGACCTCACTGGATGGAATACACAGGAATCAAATTGACTATGTCCGTGGAAAAGAGATGACAGAAAGTCTCAATATCATCGGTCAGAACAAGGCCAGGGACCAACTGTGGAACAGACCGTCAATTGCACATATGCAAGTTCAAGTTGAAAGTGAAGAAAATTACAAGCTCACGAGAGCCAAAGTACAACCTTGAGTATATCCCACCTGAATTTAGAGACCATCTCAATAATAGTTTTGACGAGTTGAACATTAATGACCAAAGACCAGACAAGTTTTGGAATGACACCAAGGACATCATACAAGAAGAAAGCAAATGGTCATTAAAAAGACAGTAAAGAAAGAAAAGAGCAAACTGGATGTCAGAAAAGACTCTGAAACTTGCTTTTGAAGGTAGAGTAGCTAAAGCAAAAGGAAGAAATGATGAAGTAAAAGAACTGAACAGAAGATTTCAGAGGGCGGCTCGAGAAGACAAAGTAAAGTATTATAACGACATGTGCGAACACCTGGAGATAGAAAACCCAAAGGGAAGAACATGCTCGGCATTTCTCAAGCTGAAAGAACTGAAGAAAAAATTCAAGACTCGAGTTGCAATATTGAAAGATCCTACAGGAAAAATATTAAACAACACAGGAAGCATCAAAAGAAGATGGAAGGAATACGCAGAATCACCATACCAAAAAGAATTGGTCAAGGTTCAATCATTTCATGAGATAGCATATGATCAGTAACCAATGGTACTGAATGAAGAAATCCAAGCTGCACTGAAGGCATTGGGGAAAAACAAGTCTCCCAGAAGTGTCGGAATACCAGTTGAGATGTTTCAACAAACAGATGCAGCGCTGGAAGTGCTTGCTCGTCTATGCCAAGAAATTTGGAAAACCAAAATCCTCACAACTGGACCAATAAGCAACGTCATGATAAACGGAGAAAAGATTGATATTGTCAAGGATTTCATTTTATTTGGATCCACAATCAACACCCATGGAAGCAGCAGTCAAGAAATCAAATGACATATTGTATTGGGCAAATCTGCTGCCAAAGACTCCTTTAAAGTGTTAAAAATCAAAGATGTCACCTTGAAGACTAAGGTCCGCCTGAATCAAGCCATGGTGTTTTCAGTTGCCTCATATGCATGTGAAAGCTTGACCATGAAAAAGGGAGACCGAAGAAGAATCGATACCTTTGAATTATGGTGTTGGGGAAGAATATTGAATATGCCGTGGACTGCCAAAAGAATGAACAAATCTGTCTTGGAAGAAGTACAACTAGAATGCTCCTTAGACACAAGGATGGCAAGACTATGTCTCACATACTCTGGACATGTTATCAGGAGGATCAGTCCCTGGGGAAGGACATCATGCTTGGTAAACTTGAGGGTCAGTGAAAAAAAAGGAAGACCCTCAACGAGATAGATTGACACAGTGGCTGCAACAATGCACTCAAGCATAACAATGATTGTGAGGATGGCACAGTACAGTGCAGTGTGGCACATAGGGTCACTATGAGTTGGCACCAACTCAACTGCACCTAATAACAACAAGAAGAAAGTTGGTTTCTGAATCTAATCACCTCTGAGTTATAAAAGGAGCAGATTAGACACAGAGATAGGCACATACGGAGGGAAGACAGATGTCATGTGAGGATCATCTACAAGTAAGGAACCAAGGAATGCCCAGGCCTACCTAAGAGGAAAGAATAGACACAGCCGAGACCCTGATTTGGACTTTTAGTCTCCAGAGCCGTGAGAAAATAAATTTCTGTTCTTTAAAGCCACCCACTTGTGGTATTTGTGTTGCAGCAGCACTAGGAGACTAAGACAATTACTATGACTAATATAAAAATTGGGTCTGTAAAGTAGGGAGCTACTGAAACAGAAACATAAATTATGTGTCATTGCCTTAGTAGTTGAGCAGCAAGTGAGGTTTAGCAGGTTGAATGGCTGGAGGCCTATGCCATGTCGCAAAAGAGTGTTTGGTGAAATTGCCAGACACTCTAACCTGAAGAGCTGACCCCTGTCTTTGTCCCTACAAGGGGAGAGGTTGGAAAATAGAACGTTAGTGAGTGTTGATTGCCAGGAGCTGGATTTGGCAAAGTAGTAAGAGAAATAAATAGGTTCAAGAAAGCTTTCAATACTTCGCAATAGAAATAAAAGGGAATAGAGAGAATATAGACAGTTGGGACTTCGCAGAGTTGGGAAAACCATCTTCTTCTAAGAACCAAATTGCAAGATGTGAGATTTTTAAAGAGCCCAATAAAACTTGTAAGGTGAATAAAGTGACCTGGGGCAAAGAGCAGTGTGCAGGCATGAGAATGCACCCCACAGAGCTCAACTACAGGAGTGTGATTGGCAGGAACCTGCTTTGCTCTGAAACCAGCACCACACCTATAGCCAACGCCACACCTCCACGAGGCTGCTCCCACCGTTGACAACTGAGCATGGCAGGCCAGTTGATGGGAGACATAGACTCCTCTAATGGGCCCTCTCAGTCAAGGATTCCCCAGGCCTTGCCAAGCCTTCTTCCAGACTGCATAGTTGACTAGAAGACCTCTGCCAGCCCGCCTTCCCTCCCTCCACACAAGGTCAGGCTTGCAGTGCTGTCTGTCTTAGTTTCCCAGGGCCGCCATAACAAAGTACCACAAACTGGATCTCTTATAAGAACAGAAATTTACTCTCTCACAGCTCTAGACACTGGGAGTCTGAGAGCAGGATGTCAGCCATGTTGATTCCTTCTGAGACTCTGAAGGAGAATCTGTTCCATGCCTCTCCCCTAACTTCTGGTGACAGCCAGCCATCCTTGTCATTCTAATCTCTGCCTCTGTCTTCACATGACTGCCTTCCCACTTTCTGTCTCTGTGTCTCTTCTCCCTTTATAAAGACACCATTCATATTGGATTAGGACTCACTTTACTCCAGTATGACCTCATGT